GTGCCACCAGCGTCCCGGTTTCTCCTTAAGCAACCATATACTTGTGATTTCCCCTCTCCCAAAAAACTTTCAATTTATATGCTTGAACTATTTGATCAAGCATACCCACATCAAAAGTGTAATGTAACACAATGGTGAAAATTCTATAGACCCCATTCTTACAATCAGATAGCACTACCAGCATTCTCTTCTTGACTGGCCATGCACATTTTTCCAGAAGAATAAATGAGAGTAAGGGAAAGGCAGGCTATTATGATAGGCTATGGCATATAAAGGAAGTATTCATATCATAAGAACACAAGAGTCTTGCTGGATCAGACCAAAGGCCCATATTGTCTAGTATCCTGTTCTCATAGTGGCCAACAACATGTCCATAAGAAGCACACAAGCAAGACTATTCCTGATTGGCTGGGATCACTCAGGGGTAGAAAAAAGACTGGCCAAAGAAAAAAGGTACAGTGGTACCCTGGGTTAAGTACTTAATTCGTTCCGGAGGTCCATTCTTAACCTGAAACTGTTCTTAACCTGAAGCACCACTTTAGCTAATGGGGCCTCCCGCTGCTGCCGCGCTGCCAGAGCACAATTTCTGTTCTCATCCTGAAGCAAAGTTCTTAACCCGAGGTACTATTTCTGGGTTAGCGGAATCTGTAACCTGAAGCGTATGTAACCTGAAGTGTATGTAACCCTAAAGTAGAAGCAGGGCAGGGCAGGTTGCAAACTGTAGCAACATATGACACCCATTGGGGTTCAAGGAATTCTACTTATTTTGCCTCTCATGATTTCTGAGAGCAAGACCCCTGCTCATTCTGAATTTGGATTGTCATTTTTCTGCTCCTGACTTACACAGATCAACACACTTCATTTTCCAGTCAAGGAATAACTCTTACAAGAAAGTCCATGAAAATATGGCATAAAAAGCAATGCAAAATTTGGGCCCTTATGAACTATATATTACAGAAGTGATTCCCATAAAAGGAATCTGGCTACATTATCTAGTCATTATTGTGAGTCAAATGTACTTCCTAGTAGCATCAAACCATGCATCAGCTGTGAACTTATTAAGAGGCATTAGGGAAGCCACTTTCAGTCTCAGCCCATCTGCAATATACAGATAAAAGTTTGCTTTTCAGACTGTTGTAAGAACTACTGAGGTAATATTTGTAAAACACTTTGAAAACTTGAAGAGCACTGCCCCGGATTGCACATCACAGTTAATAATTTACAGTGATGACATCTAAGAATATTCTTTCACTCCTTCTTACTAGTATACAGAGAAAACAGGGCATGATTCCCTGGCTTCATGCCATGTCTATACCTGGGATCATGATTTATTTCATGCCAACAAACTGCAAACAGTACGCCAATAACAAACCTTGGCTACATATCATTGTTTCTTGTGAGTGAATTCCTGTTTCGGACATAACACAAATCCAGGGATTATGGTTTGCTTCCTCCAGCACTGGGGGGTAGGGGGAGAGGGGAGAATTTAAATTGACCTCTTAGGTGCAATCAAAGTAAACAATTCACCATTCACCTTAGTGTGGCATGCAGTATGAATCACTAAATTGTTACTACTTCAGTTTATAACTTAGTTGTTTCTGTAAAATAATTCAGCAGTGAGCGTAATTGTGGAGTCTTCTCTGAAACACCTTTCCGACACCTATCTGGGATATTTCAGCTAAACTATGCTTTCACAACATGCCCATTTTCACAACTTATGCCCAATTAACTGGATACATGATGTTTGCCCATAGCAGACCGGCAGTTATACCACCCACAACATATAAAAGTGTAGTAGAGCATAAAAAAATAGAGCTGTGGGAAGGAGGTAGAGGGAGTACACAATGAGCAGTCCAGTTGCCACAGTGGTGGAGACACTCCTGCACCACAGTCAGACAGGAGGAGGAGTGGAACCACTGTGAAGGAAGTGCAAGGCTTGTGTGTAAATGGCAGTTTGGAGGAAATGAGAAGAAAGTCATAACATGGCTCAGGTGGAAGCCTTACTGGACACACTCACCCAAGAAACATTTCTGTATTGCCAAAGCAAAGCTTTTTTTTAAATAGTTCAAACATGCACAAAGGCAGTCAGGTTCACCAGAAGTCATCTCATGGCACACCCAACAACCACAACAAAGTTCTGCCTGCACCTGGAATTGTGTATGTGTGTGTGTTCATTCAAACATGGAAGGTTGATAAAAAAGGCATTAAAGATGAAGCTTAAAACAAGCTCCATAATAAATAATGAAATTAGACTAAGAAACCATCAGAGGAACATGTAGGTCTCAATGCTTCAGTCAGAAGCATAGATATTTTACCATTATGTGTAGTAAGATAAGAATCAAAATAAGTCTACAAATGACTGAGCCCTGGCCCATTTGACAGGTCATTTTTCTAGTTCCACCAGTCCCATTATCTAAAACAGATTTGAACAGGAATATCACAATAGATTTGAATAGCTAATCTAAGACAACTGGATCTTCAAGCTCCTATGTTGGCAGCTATCAACAACGTGACTGCACAACTCTAACCTGTCATAAAATGAGGAGAGTCAAATGATCAGATATAAAAAGAACTCTAATAACAAGCCACTTCCAACTATATTAGTGCTAACACTTTCTGAAATGGAGATAGATCACATACATTTTTGTTTCAGCAGAAGACCATGGAAGGCTTATTATTACATAAAATGTAAATTTAAACACTGCACAAATGTGTAAGGGAACATAAGGGTATTTCCTTTAAAGCTAAAATGAGTTCAGGATCTTTGAAAATAAATCTGAAATAATTCTCTCTAGATGTTAACTATTTAACACTAAAGAAAATAAATCAATTATTCATCACTGGGCTTTTGTTAACAACTAAAGACTAACCGGAGCCAAAATCAAGTGTAAATTTCCTTCTTTTCCTTGGGAACAGGCACATGATCAGCCTCCACCCAATAAGCAGAGAGCACAGTCTTGTTTTGCCAGCAGAGAACAATCTACCTATCAAAACTTCCCCCACACCACCTTTCATACTTAACTCAAGCATACAGACTGACCAGCCAAAAAGAATGTTGACAACAACCTATTGGGGTGTGGCTTTAACTTTTTAAATTTTAAAAAAGTATCCAATCTTTTTCATTTAAAAAAAAGTTTTAGTAGGAAATCTAAGTTTTTCCTGTAGAACTTGTTCCCATAATTGTGAAACTTGCTCATAATACTAGTTTTATGAGCATTTTCAAAACCATTCTGCTAATATCATAGGAAAGGAAAGCTCCCCTCCCCTTTTAAAGCTCAGCAGCTCATTTCAAGAGAATTATTTGTGGACAGATGCAACACTTTTTTACAGGTTAGTTTCCAAAACGGGTTGGGATAAAGTAGACGATTTTTGTACTCCTTTATTTCGGTTAGATGATAATAATCACATCTCTTTTCCAGGTCTTGATCTCTACACCACACCATCCCTTTCCATTAAGAGTAATTCCCTGATAACCCTCCCTCCCCTTTCAGCCCGGATGCCTACACAACAAGCCTATTCTTATTCGATACACGCCAATGTTTTCCCCGCCAAACACACAGAGAGAAACAAACAAACGATCCCCTGCGACATTTCCTCCTAAGCCACGATGTTTCAGGGCACGGCAAAAGGGGCAGCCTGTTTCCATAAATGCCACTAGTCCGCGAGACCACTTCGAATCAAAGGAGTACTTTAGTTGGGGGGGGGGGTTTGGAATCGACGACCAGCGGTGATAGTGAGGATGACGGGGAGGGTTCAGCAAACACTAGCAATCGCTAGAAAGAAAGGCTGAGCCAAGCCCTGGAGGGGGCGGGGTGGGCGAGTCCCGTACCTTGCCGGCCTGGGGGCTGCAAGACATGGGGGGGGGAAGAGCTCATATCAAAGAGAAAAACGAGAGCAGCGCCTCTTCCTCGCAGGGTGTAAATAGTCAGATTGGGGCAGGGGGAGGGATACTGTCTTTACAAAAGAAGGGAAGACACGGCGGGTGCAGGTACGGGAGGCTTATCTCGTCGCCCAGAGCAAATGAGGGCCCGTGCAGGTCGGCCTGCCTGCCTCCTGCCTCCGCATCCAAAGGGGATTTTAGGGGGCGCTGGACATAATCTCCCTCCATGTGATCGTGCCAGTGAAGTGGGCACGAGGAAGGTCGGCAGGCAATACTGTAATGAAGGATCTCTTTTCCCGGAGGGGGGGCGAGCGGGGGGCTGCCGGGTCCCTCACCTCGGGAAGGGGCGGAGCCTCCCCTCCGCGAGGATGGAGGCGTCTGTAGGAAGCGCCGCCGCCGCCGGCCTCACCTCCGCAAGGAAAGGAAAGGAGGGGGGGCAGTAGCTGGCCGGGAGATATGTCCGTGTGGGGCTGCGTGTGCATACGTTGATCCCCTCCCCCTCCGCCCGCTTTCGGCTCCGGGGAGGGAGAAAGGGGAGAATGCCGGCCGGCCGGGCGCTCACCTCGGTGGGGGGGCTGATCTCGAACAGGTCCAGCCGGTTCGCGTTCCAGTGGTTGATGATGTCGGCCAGCTTGCGCCGCTCCTCTTCCCGGCTGCCGCCGCCGCCGCCCGACATCCTCCTCAGCAGCCCTCCGGGGCTCCCGGAGCCAGGAGCTACACGGCGGGAGGGCCGCGCGGAGTTCCCGGCGGATTTGTAAGGGGGCGGAGGGGTCCGAAGGAAGGAGGAATCCGGTCGCTGGTGCCGCCCCTCCTCGCTCTCACCAGCCCAGACTTTGCCCTCTTCTCGCTTGCTGAGGGAAGCGCGGAGCGGCTCCTGGCTCGGTGGCAGCGCTTCCTGTTCGGTAGCGTCTCTCAGTCCTCCGCCTCGCGGAAAGCCGCCGCCGCCGCCGCCTCCTTCCCCGCCCCGGTTGTCTCCTTTCCTCCCTCCCCGCCTTTTCTCTCTCTCTCTCTCTCTCTCTCACACACACACAGAGAGAGAGGGAGGGAGAAACACCGTTCCGTGCGCGCGGCCGCTCAGCCGTTCTTTCGCGAGCGCGTCACAAACGCCGCTCTCCTCCTCCTCCCCCCACCCATCCTTCCTTGCGCGCGTGCGCGTGCGTGCCTCCTCTGTGCTTCTAATGCTCGGGTGTCAGGTCAACAGCCCGGCGAGCGCGCGCGCCGAAAGAGGACCGTGCGCACGGTGCTCGCGCCTCCTCCTCCTCCTCCCGCTTCTCTCTCTCTCCCCCCGTGTGTGAGGGGGAAATTAGCAGTTGAGGGCGTTTTGGTTTGAACTAAGCGAGGACGGGTAGAGAGCCGCGCGGTAGCCTGCCGTGGCGGCAAGAACAATGAAGGGTGGCGGCTGAAGGGGGCTGGGTTTGTGCGTGGCGGCGGGCTACGGAGGCAGGCGCTGTGGAGGATGGCAATCGCGTGAAGGGATTAATTGTTGTTTAGCCATGGTGCTCTCTGGGGACTCAGAAGGGAGGATTGCAGCCTTCCTAAGCGTGTGCATGTATATAATTATATTTTCTTCAAAAAAAGTGTAAATAGAAGCAGGGTGAAACTTGCTGAAATAAACCCTCTCTTCTCTGCCTGCGAGAGTTTTGGCAAGTCCCGGTCACCCACCTGCAATGCTTCATGTTTAAAATGGGAATAATAGGGAAATTGCTATGCAAGTTTTTGCTGGGAAGTAAGCCCCACTATAATAGGCACGGGAGGTTTCTCCTCAGAAATTATGTTTAGGACAGCAGTTTGAGAGTAGGGTTACCCAAAATATTTAACTAGGTAAGGTTTGAGAAGGTAGTGTTGAAATAGGTCATCTTTGCAGTAATCCTATGCACTGAGAGTTGGTCCCATGGAAATCCGCCAGGCTGCCTTCTCTGTAGACAGGCATAGTATTGCTGTGTTAAATATCACTTATTAGGAGTAAGGCCCATTGATCGCAGGTGGGTTTTGCTGCACAGTTGCCTCCAGCAGCTCTTGCACTAGGACTGGAAGTGCCACGGGAAATACTTCCCAAGGAATGATAGTACTTCTAAGCACAGGGACCTGGCACAGCCCTGGCAAAGTAGGCCCTGCCAAAGTTGTTGCTTCCTTGCAGAATCCGCCAGCAGCACTTAGATGAAAAACTGCACAGTAAGAATCTCTGTTGAGTGACACAAGCTGGAGGGTTGGCATCAGGATATTGTAAAATGCAGCTCCCTGTTCACATTATGTGCTTGTGAGAATGAATAAGCCTGGCTTCTTTCTGTCTAAAATTGAAGCTTTTACCATTTCCCCAGAGGACAGCTAAAAATGTATTAAGCTGATTGAAATAAATTAGTTTATCCTGATGCATGGACTACTCTTAGGTTTACACTAGTCTGGTGGTGAGAGGCTAGGAGAGATAGCAGGTGTCTTGGAGCAGGGAACTGAGTGGAGGTGTTCATGGGCACATGCATGCAAACAAGATAAGCATGTAGAGACTACAGAGCAGCTGAGAGCCTGGGATTGGTATGGAGAAAAAGCAAGAGAGGCTATGCCCATCAGACCGGTTTGGGGAATGAGTCATCTCTTGGAGCAAGGGAAGTAGATAAAAGTAGGGGGGAGAATAGATCTCTGCTCATTGTACAATATTCATCTGTCCTTAGGCAATGTTTTCATACACATTCTCTCCATTCTCATTTGTTTCATAATAAAGCTCTCCAGTTTTGGAACTTGCTTTCCCAGATATCAGAAAAATGCTAAGCTTGCCAATTTTCTGGAAGTACCATAAGCCTTCACTGTTCAGGGCAAGCATTTTGTGGCTGGGTATTGGAGGATTTTTTAAGGATAACTTTTAGTCTACGTATATTTAAGTGTTTGGATAGCATGTTTCTAAGTGTTGAGCTGCGCTGAGCCCTAGGAAATTCAGTAAAGCATAATAAAAGTGGTGGGAAGGAATTAGTAAATTAAATAAATTGATTGTCAACTCACATAAGAGGTATGCCTCAGTTTGTTAATGGTGGGTCTTTCCCTAAGAGTATTCCCACAGGATTGTAGTTCTAGTCACTTAAGTTCCTCCATTAATCAAAGACTCCATAACAGAGCATGTGCATAACCTCTTGGGTTCAATCCATACTATCTCCCATTTATGTCTCAAGTACTTTGGCATTTTTAAAGCTATTGCTTTATTTGACCCCAGTGTCAAGATTAGCAGAGAACTGCTGTGGGTATAGGAGGGTTTTCTGTCCCTAAAAAAAACCCTGGTCAGGATCCAGTGAGTTCTGTGTGTTCCCCAACATTGTCTTCCATGCAGCCAGGCTTACCCAATTTCCTCTAGTGACTGGTGCTCCTCTTAATGCGGGGGTCAGGGCATAGGGGTATATGTGTTTTTTTATGCCACTTTGTTTTTCTCTGTTCATCTTTCTTGCAGTGCCAAGAAATCTTTAGTTGCATACTCTTTGCAGGTACATGAAGTAGTTATTCCAGGAAACTCTTTGAAAAGCCTTGTTTTTAAAAATGTGGAAAATAATACTGACTCTTCAGGAACTCTATTTTTGGTCTTTATTATACAATCACTGAACTGTAAAAATACATAAATTTTACTTCCTTTTCTTGGTCATTATCCTCTTGTGTTAAATCTGTGTTTCTGTTACGGGGATATCTTTGCACAAAGAAAATTCAAGCCTTTCCCCCAGATAACCCATTCATTATTTTGGGGAGGTAGGAAAATCCAAAAGTTAATAATTCAGTACATGTTTAGATTGGATTTCTGTTTGTTTACTTGAGTGATTTAGTTGTATTTAAATATGGGTTTCAAAAATGTGTTTCATCAGCCAATGTAAAAGGCATAATAGAATTATTTTAATAAACTTTATAATTCAGTTGGTGGGGGCCTCCCGTTCCATGAGAGTTTTGCACAAAAGCTTTGGATATGTTCATGTGCCTCTGAAGAGGCCACAAGAAGTAATTTAGCTAGCATTCTCATATGCATGTCAAGAATCAGAAACCACAAATGTATAAAGCTCATGTAATACCTTTGGGAAATTGCTGTCAAGCATAACCATGCATGAGTGCTAGTTAGTGCAAGAAGGGGTTAAGATAATAGAGCTGGATTTCTAGACTCGGCCCCCTTCTCTGATGAGGGAGGAAGTGAAGTATTCTCTTCCTGTTACATCTCTCTCCGTTCCATGTAACTGATTAAGGAAGACGTGTCTAAGCAAACAGCAACTTTAGAGCTTATGTTTGAAGCGAACTTTCTGTATTTTCTAGCCAAGGGTATTTTGCCTGTGTTCTTGCTGCTGCTTGGATAAATGCATGAATCTGACCTTTTGAACGTTTTGTAAGTAAAGCATTTTAAATTTACTTAAAAGTGTGTGGTCTGTTCATTGCAAGGGATAGAAAGAGGGGAATACTTTGCAAGCGAACTAAACAGGATAAAAAGATTTAACAGTCTACATTTCCATACTACACTGCTGCTTGAGTTATGTGAATTTAAACTCTGTTACCAAGGGTTCTCTCCTGCTGGAGAGTCTGTTTAGCCCCACGTTTTGAATCCAGGTGCCCAGCAGATTCTTTTGTTATTTACCCCACACACTAGTTATTTACCCCACTGGGCTTTATATTTTCCTCCTACAATACCTACCCTGTCATTGGTACAAGTTACTTGTTCCAACTGCGAGCTATCTGAACAGTTGGGTGGACCTTATCTTTGTAATTTTTTGGTTACATTTTTTCCTCATTTACTTCTTTAAAATAAGGTGGGGAAAGTGTACTCAGATCACAGCTTTGCAAATGTGGTAACAGCCAAAAAAGAAACAAAGCCCTTAGCATTCTTAAAGTCATGCACAAAAGCCTATTATAGTCAGTGTTCCATGTGCATTCATCTGTGGTTAGAAAGTCCAGAGCCTACACTCACTTGCTGAAGTCCTATAATAGAGAACTAATCTGATCCAAAGCTTCTCCTGAACTTTTATGCAAGAAAGTTGCATGTCTGTAGGATACCTCTAAGCCAAAGGTAGGAAAATCTGCGGCCCTGCAGATGTTGCTGGACTTCATCCCCAGTCAGTATGGCCACTAGCCAGGGATAACAAGAGTTGTTGTCCAGCAACATCTGCAGGGCCGCAGATTTTCCACCACTTCTCTAAGGCTTATGTATATTTTATTGTACTATTATAATCTGTAAAATTATACCTTGTTTTCTTTTTAAGGAATTTCATTTCTAAAAGATGCAGAAATTACCATAAAATCCACAACGGCTGGAAGGGATAGTTCAAATAATCAGAAGTATCTGAAAGCCAATATAAAATCAAGGAAAGGATGAGTTGAGGGCCTGTCCTTTTAGTTATTTGCTATTTATATATGTATTTAGCTAACTGCCACAGTGCTCTAAAAGGATCCACTTAAGCTTAGCTGAGGTAGGCTCATATCTAAAATTTATTGCGTTCCTTTGCCAACACTCTACAGTATTGGAACTTATTTTCTAGTACATGGTGTGGTGACAGAATATCTTGTGCCAAATATAAAGGTCAAACCCTAGTCCTCATTGTTGTAGAGATAAACTTGAAAAAATTATCGTCTACTTATCCAGAAACTTAACAGCTTCAGTAGACATGTGACTGGATCTTATGGGGTCTGCAGCATTCTCAGTAATTTTGCTCCTCAACTATTTTTTCATACCCTACTCTCGCCTGAAGGATGTGTCAGCTACTTCCAATCATTTCCATAATTCTGTAATATAGCTTCAACTTACCACTGGCTCTCATTGGTCATCACAACTAATTTTCCTCTGCTATTCAGTGCCTGCATAATTTCTCAGTAATCTTACAACCGGAATAAATGTTGCACATTTGTAATGTTAACATGTACAATGAAATGACTTCAGAACTCGGATCAGGATCAGCTTTCTGGGTCACTGAATTTAAAGGCCAGAAAGTACCTTTCAAAGATAGATACTCACTCAACAGGTTTTCTGGAATTAGATTCAGCAGTACACCTGAAATAACTTACAAACTCTCTTACTGTTTTGCTTTGTGCCAATGTCCTGTGATCTCCCTTGCAGTCAGGCATAGTACATGGGAAAGATGGGGGGGGGGCTTTGTTTATAGTCCTCACTGCACCTAAAAAGCAAATGTTGCCATGTTGGTTCATGAAAAGAATAAAACTCCCAAATCCACATAATCTTTATTAGAACCAACCAAAATTGTCACTAAAGTGTGACAAGCTTTTGAGTTCTCCATAACTCAGTGCTTTGTCCACTTTGAATTGTTATGGTGTGCTCCTGCACTTTTGCCAATGTCTTTCCCTTTCTCATTTGGTCAATCATAAAAAAAAATCCTCATACCTGGGGGATAGTTTGTTCCCAACCAGATACTCCTCAGCTTCTGTCAACTTTCCCCGTTCCATCCCCTCATTCAGTTTAAAAGAGAAGTTAGATTTTTCAGGAAAGGGAGAAAAATACATTTAATTCTGCTGTTGCTCTCTGTACTAGGGTAAAACACCTGTTGAAGTAAAAGACTGACATGTTTGGACAGTGTTAACACAAACTAGGAAATAAAAACTTGCCCTTGCAAAATTAACCCATCCTCATTTGTTGTGTAGATTACATGCATCAAAGTATCATTTAAGCCAGCTAATTAGATTTAACATGTGGTTTTCCAATATGAGGGGGCGGGGTGGACTTTATAACACCATTGAGAATTACTAATATATTTGATGGCATTCAGCTTCCTAATTCTACACATGTAATTCATATCAATTGCATTGAGACCCTACATATGTGTTTAAAGCCGTATCAATCCTATGCAAAGTTAGATGCCTAAAGTGCAGTCACTGATGTGAGTAATCAGAAGGGCCATTGAGTTGAGTAGAGCATCCTCCACTTAATTGAGTATTGTATTGCAGCCTAAGCCTGTTGAAATTAATGGGCCAACTATCAAAAAGTCCTGGGGTTTTAAATTTAGTTATTTCTCATTTTACGCCCATTCCCATGAGTTGCAAACAATTATATCATGGTATGCCAAAAGAATCACAACTTACAGCGCAATCCTAGCCATGTATGCTCAGAATTAAGTCCTTTTGAATCCAGTGGAGTTTACTCTCAGTTAAGTGGAGATAGGATTGCAGCCTAATTCAAGTAGATTTACCAACTGCAAAAAAAAAAGCTAAATTATAAAATAGCAATTGAAGATGACAGACCAATAGTCTGACTCAGTATAGGTCAGTTTCCAGAGGCCCCCCCCCCAAAAAAAAGTGAACTGGGATTCAAAATACATACTACTTTGCCTCCAGTGTACTTCCATGACTTGTTTGAGAAATGGTGAACCCATGATGTTAGTCGCAATTCATATCCACCCCATATCCTGTTCTTTCTTATTAAATACTGTGTTTTGAGAAAAATGAACAACTTCACTGCATTTTAAGACAGTACAGTAATATGTACACAGCCATAGATGCTGTTTTTATGGTTTCAAAATGTTCCCGACAAGCCTTGGCTTCAGTTCATCAAGTTACTTGTGCATATCCCTGGGAGGAACTCAGCATAATGTTCAAAGGAGTGTACAGGAGCAAAAAGTTCTGCTCATGCAGTGGGACTCTACACCCCCCACCCTGCCTGTTCTGGGTTTTCCCTCAACCCACCAGAGCAGATTTAGGGGGCGTGGAGGAAGGACAGGACAAAAAGGCCAGTTGTGTGAGCGGACCTTGTTCTGCTCATGCAACAATTTAGTTGAACCAACCCCAGATGTATGTGAATAGCTCATTTCACTTCACTCAAAAGTATATTAACTGCTCAAAAATAAAGCACCCTGCAACAGAGAAGCAGATATATACCATTTGGGATTTCTATGATACTGATAACACTGGGAAAGTAAATACTCTACCCAAAGTAATTCTATTTCACCAAATGTAGGATGATTTCTAAATTGATTCAAGCTAAACATTTAGTTTAATGACAGTAATGTATGATCAAAAATTGATATTTAGAACCAGTAGCATAGTATGTGTCCCACTGTTCTAATTAGCTGATATGAAAATCTTCAAAATATGCAGGCATATGTAAGGCACCTGGTTTTTGAAGAAGGAAAAGTCCCCACCAAGAATTAATTAATTACGGCTCAGCAGCCCTCTGAGACAAATAAATGTAAATGTTGCTTCTTCCTGCACCCCCTTTATAAAGCAACTGAGGCATAGTAAGGTCTATTTCTGGTAACAAGCCATGAGAGGGTGTAGATGCCTTACTAGGCAATTAGTACAAATAGCCAGAAAGTATTTTGTTGCTAGTGCATGCTTCCAAGTTTTATTGATTTTTGCTGTTTAAAATATCAGTTTCGGAGTAGTTCATGAAATATGTGTTTGTGCAGTTAAAAGCAATTCCTTTTAAAAGAAAAGTTTTTTTAAAAAAAAAACAAAGTTAAATTATTAGCTAGATGAAGAATTGACATAACTAAAGAGCTATATGTTTTCTGTTTGATTTTTCCCATTTGTAAAACATCTGGTAGCTATGTTCATTAAGGGCCTAATTTTGCACCTCACCAGTGTCTTGGTATGATGTACTTTTTTGGATGATCCTGACATACCTGCCCGTTCAAACCTTTGACCAGAAGTGAAACTTCTTTAGCACATTATGCTGCAAAATTGCCGGTATCCTCTGCTGGCAGCATGACACATTCAGCTCGTGAGAAGGCTTTCACAGGCACTATTAATTTGCAGCCCACCATTTAATCTGGGAATCACAGTACCACTTAAAATCAGTGTACTTAACTCTTGCACCTCCATTCTAATGCCAGCTGAGATTGCTCATCACTGGAACAAAGATACAGTGGTGCCTCGCAAGACGAAATTAATTCGTTCCGCAAGTTTTGTCGTCTTGCGATTTTTCCATCTTGCGAAGCACGGTTTCCCATAGGAATGCATTGAAAATCAATTAATGCGTTCCTATGGAAACCGACTTCAGACCAGATCCGGGGACAGTCTGTCCCCCGACCTCTTCTGAAGGCTGGGGGGGGACCAAGGGCTTTTCTTCCCACCCCCAGCATTTTAAAAAACCCCGGGACAGCGGGGGACTTCTCCGCTGTCCGGGGCGATCTTAAAATGCTGGCGGGCGGGAGCGAAGCCTCCGCTGCCGCCCGCCAGCATTTTAAAAAGCCCCGGGACAGCGGGGGACTTCTCCACTGTCCCAGGGCGATTTAAAAGCCCCCGGGAAGGCAGGCAGGGGGGACAAAGACTCCAGGACCTCTTCTGAAGGCGGGCGGGGTGCGAAAGTCTTTGCTCCCCCCCGCCTGCCTTCAAAAGCCGTCCGGGACAGCGGAGAAACACGCTGCGTTTCTCCGCTCTCCCGGGAAGGCAGGCAGGGGGGAGCAAAGACTTTCGCCCCCCGCCGGCCTTCAGAAGAGGTCCAGGACCTCTGGCGGCGGGAGGAGGTCTCTCCGCCCGCTGCCAGCCTTCGGAGGAGGTCCGAGGACAGTGGGGAAGACGCGCTGCGCTTCCCCTCTGTCCCGGAGATTTCCCTATGGGCTTTCGTCTTGCGAAGGAAGCCCATAGGGAAATTCGTTTTGCGAAGCGCCTCCAAAACGGAAAACCCTTTCGTCTAGCGGGTTTTCCGTCTTGCGAGGCATTCGTCTTGCGGGGCACCACTGTATAGAACAAAATTTCTGACACTGGAGCTTCCAAACATTGCTACTAGGGCAGCAGTAGCTAGTAGTGTCTAAAACAGAAAATATTGAACAAATCCCTGTTGCAGGGATTTGGGGCTACCATTTCTGTTTAGATGCAGTAGCTCTCCTAATCCCCTCTGCCCTATGTTACCCTGTTAGTAGTCCACATTGAAACAGATCAACCCCATGTCTCCCCTTGAATGCTTGGTTTGCTGGTGTTCACTAGTCTGAATCAGTTTGCAAGACACTCACCTACCATAGTGCTTACAACACCTGGAAAAAGCTGATGTCAGGATTCATCCGTGGCATCTCAATTCCTGACTTTTGCCTCAGCATATCCTGTTGTGATTCTTTTACGATGTCCCTTCCATGTCAGCATAAAATAAAATCACGCTTCACCACATTGTGCAGCCTGATCTGTAGGTACACCTTTTTCTATGTGCTTGAAATCTAGAAATTTGGAACCAGGCTGTTTGTCTCAAGCATATACAATATATAAGGTTTGGTTATTTTTTAATGTACTTATTTATAAAGTTTTGAAAGGGGGGAGGGGAATGTGTGTACATTCAATTTAAATGTTGACCTTTTTAGTTGCTAAAAACCATAACTCTTGTTTATTTACTAATACAATAAAGAGCTTAATTGAACCTTTAAAACAAATATATTTCTATCATCAGCTTTCGTGCCTGTTGTCCAATGGCAAATTTTACGCATACATGTCTAGACAGAAGACTGGGCAGAGGAGGACTGCCAGGAGGCAAAAGATCCAATCAGAGCCAGTGATCAATGCATCCCTGTTGAGTGGGCCATTGTTGCTGGTACATAGTTTCTTTTGATTATGCGCTAATAAAGCTTGTTTTAGTCGTGTCCAACTCTTCGTGACCCCATGGACCAGAGCACGCCAGGCACCTCTGTCCTCTCTAATAAAGCTACTATCCATATATTCCCAAGTTTCCTAGCATCTAATGGACTTCCTTTTGCAAGGCTTGCTTCACAGTATCAATAGCAGCAGCCTGATAAGGACATCCTAGGTGTGGTCCTCCTTCCCACTTTCTTCTAAATCTGGAATATCTAAAGCCAATTGTTCTGCCAGGAACCATTGAGGAAGCAGAATTTAGCCATCTGGATTAACGTGACAGACTATAAAGCTGGCATGAGATACAAATATATGTGGCTGAGGAATCTCTTGTATAGTCAGTTCCTTTAGTATTAAAACAGTAGATTATTGATAATCTTAAGAAATGTGCTCTTAGATTTTAAATCAACTTTCTAATTTTAATGTAAAAATTTTAATACAGTGGACACTCGGGTTGCGAACGTGATCCATACGGGATGCACGTTCGCAACCCACGTCTGCCCACACACAGGTTGGGATTCGGCGCTTCTGCGCATGCGTGACCACCGAAACCCAGAAGTAACCCTTTCCAGTATTTCCAGGTTTCGGCGGTCCACAACCCGAAAAAACGCAACCTGAAGCAGCTGTAACCCAAGGTATGACTGTAATCAAATTCTAAATAAACATGATTAATGAATCGTGCATTTTGAGAGCTTCTCCAAATCTTCACGTTCTGCTTTGAGTATTCCAATGTAAAAATGGGCATTTAACCCATAAAAAACTAAGCAAAACTAAGTGTTCCCTATAAAGTAATATGCAAATTCCCTTTCTTTCAGGACTCTCCATGCTTATGCACAATCCTAACTGTCTTCACTTCAGCTGTAGGACCAGGCTGTCCATTGGATACATGGGACAAAATTACACAGATATAAAAGAATCTCTGAGCCGTCAGCACCCAAGCACTTCTGCCATTAAGATGCCATGTATTCAATGTAAGCACAATCACATACAGTCATACCTCATGTTACGGACGCTTCAGGTTACGTGTTTTCAGGTTATGGACCGTGGGAAACCTGGAAGTACTATAACGGGTTACTTCCGGGTTTCACCGCATGCGCAGAAGCGCCAAATCGTGCTGGTGCCTGCGCAGACACAGCGCTTCAGGATGCGTACGCTGCAGGTTGTGGACGTGCCACCATCACGGATTATGTCTGCAACCCAAGATTCCACTGTAATTTGGTTCCAGGCACAGGACTGAACATCCAAAAAGATCCACTTTCATTTTATAAAGATCTGTTTCAAGCCCATAGGGTTGGAGGGAGAGTGTACGGGCAATGGAATCTGAGAACTTTGAATGGGAAGTTGAACAAGTTATGCAGTGTTCAGAAGTGGGGCTTCAGTAACCTGCATAACTCAGTGTTCCTTCTTATAAGCAGAGAATAAATTATGCAAAATATGGAAATACATGCAGATTTGCAATTTATACAGGAGTCAGAATACAGATCAAGTGGACTTAGAAATTTATTTTCTTAGGTCAGAATAGTATAGCTTTCCCCACCACTGTCTTCAGCAATTCTGACAGTAAGGAATGCAAGGTTACCCAATCATGCCATTAGAATAAGTTTATGGATTGTAATATGTGCACATGTGTATAAGGAATAACTAAATGAGAACGGCATCTTCTCTGTTTCCATTTGCCATTAAAACCATTTACAGTGGTGCCCCGCAAGACGAATGCCTCGCAAGACAAAAAACCCGCTAGACGAAAGGGTTTTCCGTTTTTGAGTTGCTTCGCAAGACAAATTTCCCTATGGGTCTTGCGATTTTTTTCGCTCCCCCCCCTTTTTCTAAGCCGCTAATAGCCTTTTAGCCGCTAAGCCTTTAATAGCCGCTAAACCGCTAATAGCGCTAATCTGCTAAGCCGCTAATAGGGTTGCTTCGCAAGACGAAAAAACCGCTAGACGAAGAGACTCGCGGAACAGATTATTTTCGTCTTGCGAGGCACCACTGTAGTTCATGGTGCTTTTGAATCAACTGAAAAGAAGAGGTAAATGATAACGTCAAGTAAGCAATCCAGATTGCCTTCGAAATTTTCAGACAAGAATAAATCACTGCACAAGTGAAAGCCACAGCAGGAAACCATAATAACCAACTGAAGTTTCATTTTCCTGTCTACTGCAGTGGGTTAATATTGCAGTGCAGAGCTTTTTGCCCCATTACTCATTTGTGAGAAAGCAAGAGGTTTCAAACAAAAACTTCCTGTGGATTATTACTTACGAGTCCCCCCAACTTTTTATTGAATTTTTGTTGCATGCAAAACCTCTTTGTTTTTTAACTATCATATTTACTTTTTTATGTTCTTAATTTTTAATGTTCTTAATTCAATAGCGTGCATCAAGTTATTGGTTTGCTTTTGTTTTATTATGTATTTTGTGTTCTCGTTTTATATTTTTATGTTGTGACCCACCCTGTGATCTTCAGATAACAAATTAAAACTCAGGTATACAAATTTAAACAAACAAATAAATAAATAAATTCTTGCAGTTTGTTAATGAAGAAATTAGCAACAGGAGCAGGTGGGAAATAAGCTTGGAGGCTGTTCACCTATACACTGACTTAAAGGCTTTCAGTCATTACATAAACTAATTAAGTGAGCACAGAATTGCTGGTGAACCCCACAAAATTGCAAGTCACTCTGTGTGTAACATAGACAGCTACAGAACTGGGGAACCAAAAGCCTATCTTTCTGACAGGCAATTTGCTAAACAAGCTTCAGTTTAGATAAGAGATGGGATATATGAAACTCCCTGCAGAACACTCTGCTTAATGTAACCGAAATGCCATAATTTTTGGTCACACTCAATCTAACCTTGTTCTTAGAACACTCTTGCACTGTATTAATCCAGATTTACAGACCAATCCCAAACATAGTTACATGGAAATACATTTCACTGCATTCAATAGGATTTACTTTTCTGGTAAATGTGCTTATAGGATTGTAACCTAAATCATTCAGGATTTGCCGGGATATTTTGTACGTTAAATGTAATGTAGCCATCACAAAACCTATTTAGAATATCCCCCTTCCAGTTCACCTGGAGGAGCACTTTATGGCCAGAATTAACTCCTAACAACAGAGTGTTTAATCTACTATTTATATAACTCACAGATGTCTGTCATGGGGGCTGGACAACTTACACTTTTAAAAAGATGTTTGCGGACGGAAGGGAGGATTTATCCATATGTAACAATGGGGTATGATGTTTCATGTGACTCTAGGCCCATGTCTTACATACAGTCAACAAAACTTTGTCCAAACTAGGATTACATTGCTCCAGCTTTCAAAAACCAGTTTCCCAAAGTGTAAATGCTACGGTTTGTTTTTGATTCATTACCCATTTCAGTCTGCAGTCCTTTACACCAGTAGTAGCTAGCCCATATCTTTCTCACTAGCGAGAGAATTCGATAAATATGGGGCCACCACCCAATGTGTCCCTGCTGCTTACAATTAATCCCTCCCCGTCTCTTAAGTTTTTATAATGTACTGGGTTTTTCGGCATCAGTTCCTGCAGTGCCATAATCTCAGATACATTTGTGTTCACACAACATTGCTGCAGGTGCACTTTCATGTTGGATGCATTTTGACACCTGACCCCAATCTCAGTACTTTTCCGAAGCATGGTGGCCTTTTGCATCATATCTACAAGTGCTTTAAAGCATCGTGTTATGGCTCAATTGTTGTTTAGCTCTTAAACAACAGGTGCAAGATTAAGGATCAAGCAGCATGTGGCCTCAGTGTGTGCAAAATAGTGTTCCTGCCAAAAATATAGACTCCTTCGGAGTATTACATCTTAACCATTTAAAATTATGTGGCTTCATGTCTTATTGATAAATTATATGGGATAGAGACATATTCAGAAGAATATTCCCTCAAATCTTCCTTCCAGTTTCTCTCTGTGGGTTGCATCCAGTGCTATGTAAGCAGAGTTCTCTTCGCACTATAGGGAGTTCCCCTTCCTCTCCTCTTCCTTCGGACCCCCAATATCTGATGCAGACAGTTCCCCAACCTTCTGGAGCAGATTTTGAAGATGCAAGGGGGAACACAGGGGAGATGAGGGGGGAGTTCCCTTGTGTAAACTGGAATTTTCTGCCAAGTGGAAGAGCACTGTTGGATACAGTCCTTTGGCCCAGTCCCTTAGTCATATGGTACTGCAGGGGTACTTGGTGCCCTCCAGATGTTGTTCAACTACAACTCCCATCAGCCTGTCAGCATGATCATTGGCCAGGGATGACAAAAAGATTAGATCAGCAACATCTGTAGAACACCACATTGGCTACCCTGTGCCTGCTGTAAATAAGGCTAAGCATATGGATGCATGAAATAAACACATGTCCTTCTCCTGTGACTCCATCTCTCTTATTTTTCTCTGGTCTCCACTGTGTTGAATTGTAGATAACAAGTTTCTCGGGATAGGGGCCTGTATTTTCCCCAATGTTATAAAATAAGACTTACGTAGGTAACATGCTTATGATGCAATCCAATACATGTTTACTCAGTAGTAAATCCTGTTGAGTTTAGTGGGATTTATTGCAAAGTACGTGTGTACAGTATAGGATTTCATCCTGAATTTTCAAAGTACTATAATCCTCCTGATTGGCTTTATAATGGCAGTAAAGGAAAACAATTCACTTCAACACTTGTTCTTACAATGTTTTTCTTTAAACATTTCGCTCTTTTTTCAAACACATTTATCTTCTTGCCCTTGCATCATCCAAATACACATTGTTAAATGATTAAAGATTGTCAAATCCCAGTAGATGATGTTAGGGTATAGCCTGTAGTATTGCAGCCCGTTTTCATGCAGGGTTTCCACCATTAATAGCAGACTTACAGGCCAAAACCAAACATTCCCAATGTTAGAGAAAACTGCACCTGGAATCATAGAAATGTTTGTGCCCCCCCCAAGACATAAAATGGTACAAAATGGTAACCTTAACAGCATGTGATTGCAATATCCTTCCTCTTGCTACATAGCTACTTGAGCACCCAATGGAGGGCCATTTCACACAAAATATGTCCTTCAATTTGACTATGAAGGAATTTTATGAAACACAGCCATATGTTCCTGGAAGACTGCTAATCATGGATCTGCAATTGCAAATGATTCTTTATGAAGAGTACCACAGATGATGGCACCCTCTGGAAAACAAGGGCAGTGATTATGTTATACAAATTGCTACAGTAGAGGACTAGTGTGAAACGACATGTGTGAACTAGATTTCAAAAAGGAGTGAAACATGGGGGTATTTCCCTGCTCCTAAATATAATACAGGAAGCAGTCCTAGAGGCTGCAATGAGCAAAAATGGAAGGGGCAGATGCTGTTAGAGATAGGCAAACTTTTTCACTTGTCCTGCTGCTGAATATAAAAAAGAGATACACTGTAGATAAATGACAATTAATGGCAATGTAGAAAAGGCAATTAATTACAGTCAGCAAATGGCACGAGAAATGGTGATGGATTAACAATCAATTAAAGGCAGAGAAGAGACCATCTGTTAAAAATGGTAAGAGTGAATGTTCAGTTGATCGATACCAATGAAGAGTTAGGTATAAGATAGTGAACAGTATTAACAGTGGGCAGGTACTCTGCACCTGATCTTAGCAGTCTCTCAGAGAGTGAAGAATTGCATGCAAAAGGAGTATGAGGCAAATAGTTAAACTATTCCAGGAAGAGGGAGACTTGAAGGTCATCTCATTAGCTCTTAATGGGCCAACGCACTAAAATGTCTAATGATTAAGTATTTTTGTGATTATTATTTTTTAAAAGTTGTGACAGCAGTGAAGACAGTTCTTATGAACATATTTTAAAGGTGAAAAATATGCATGGTATTTAAAGGATCTCGACCCTTACGGATGCTCTATAATCATGAAAGGCAGGATTTGAAAACTAGTTAGTAAAGAGGAATCTAAACATGCGATTGAAATGTGGAGATCGGAATGCTACACTGAAGGCACAAATATGTTCAGCTCTCATAATCTCATTGGAGATTCATCATCCATACATCGTTGCTTTTGCTTATTTGACAAAACAGGATAAGCAATGAGAAAGATGGCATACGGTTGGCATGCATACACGAAAGAAACATGCCAGATGTGTGAGCAAAGAAGCCTGAAAGATTACATAAGTTGGACATCTATGGTTACAATCCACAAATTCAACAGAATGTGTAACCCACTATGTTCAGATAGTGCCACTTCACATAGGAGAATAGTCGCCAAGCAACCCAAACTTGTCATTTTTCGCTGCACCTATATTTGCTTCATTGGTTTATATTTGTAAGCCTCTTTGAGCCCAGTGCTATAGGGTGACCTAGAAATATTGTTTAATATTATATGTTCCATACTGTTGTTTTTATTTTATTTTTATTTTATTTAATGTAAGCTGTTCTGGGCAACTGGAAGGGTGGGATACAAATCCTCTTAATAAACAAAATCTATTGATGTTGCTGACATCTTTCTGTCTGTTTCTCTCTTTTTCCATCTGCTTAATTTCTGCACCTGCCACTTATTATCCAGTTTGTCCTAACCACACTTAAGTTGCAGTTATGGCCCTTAAAAAAAAAAAGATTACATTTGAGCCCTGCCTATAGTAAGAGACCAGACTGGAACTCTTAAGATTTCCATAGGCCAAAGTAACTTAAGGACAACCAGACATTTGCCTTTTATTTGAAACACCCAGGAATTATGGCCTGTAATTCAGTGGCAGAG